GGACTTGCGGTGAGATTCTATCACTATGAACATTTTATCTAAAATAGAACAGAGATAGATTTGAGAGATATTAGGGTAGCTGAAACTATTTTGAGGAGGATGTGAATGTGCGTATAAGTATGTGTTGATTATTAGGCTCACACTCATACCTACCCTCAAGGTAATATTAGTGAAAATGAAACCTAAACTGATAAAGAAATAAATGTTGTTTTTTCCATCAATAAACTTTTCTATAGACTATAATTTTGCATTTCACACGACCTATGTTTAAAATACTTTTACATGAAATAATTTATGAATTTATTCTCTAATTTTTCAGACAATTAATAAATATGCAAAGTACAACTGAAAGTAAGATTTTAGTTAGATTTATTTAAAAAAAGATAAGTTTATTTTCTAGTTAAAAAAAATACATTAGTCTATGACAGTCTAATGAATAGTGTTCCCGATTATTCCCGTTTTTTCACTGTGGATGAACTTATCAATCGTTCACGTAACCTGGCACTCAAACATTCGTCTTTAGTACAATATCGAGATATTGGACATTCTCAAAATGGCGAGACTATTCCAATGTTAACAATAGGCAATGGCGCGAAGTCTTTATTACTTTATGCATGTCCACACCCAAACGAACCAGTCGGAACACTTTTAATCGATTTTTTACTTGATGCCTTATTCGATCATTCTGACTTACTCAGTAAATACACTTGGCATTTGATACCATGTGTAGATCCAGATGGAACACGTCTTAATGAAGGTTGGTTTACCGGTCCATTTACTATTAGTAATTATGCACGATATTTTTATCGACCACGTTTACAAGAACAAGTTGAGTGGACTTTTCCAATAACATATAAAAACTATAGTTGGACAACACCTTCGAATGAAACTCAAGCATTAATGTATGCTATTCAATTAGTTCAACCAGATTTTGTTTATGGCTTACATAATGCTGGTTTCGGTGGCATGTATTATCATATTAGCCATTCTTTCGCTGATATATTTCCTCAGTTAGCACGTTTTCCATCTTCATTAGGATTATTTCTGGCTAAAGGTGAACCTGAGGACCCTTGGATAACCGAGTATGCATCTGGGATCTATCGAACTATCGGTTTATCAGAGGCATATGACTATTATGAAAAACATACGCAAACCGATCCTGAAACACTCATGTGTGGGGGTAGCAGTAGTAGTGAATATCTTAGAGAGATTGGTCTACATAAAACAATATTTCTTGTAACAGAAGTACCATATTTTCAATCACCTGTTGTCACAGATAATACAATCATTCCAAATGTTACACGACGTGATGTACTTCTTCAAGGACTTGATGAAGAAGATCAAAGTAATGCTATTCTAATGAATTTACTTGAACAAATTAAAACAGCTATGACACTTGACTCAGCATTGTATCGCGCTTCTCGTTCATCATTAGAGTTACGTAATACAATGGCTACAAATTATCGACAAGCTATCCTGAATGATGATTGTACTCTTGAATCAGCGACGGTTGCTAGTCGAGCAGATGCATTATATATTTCATTATTTTATAAAATGTTAACTGTAAGTATGTTAGATCGTGCAATCACGTTACAAATTCAACAAAAATCTGGAGATATAAAATTACTTGAAAATGTTCAAAGAGAACTTGAACGTCATCTTAATAATTGGAAGAATGATATTGAACAAAATTTACCTTATACACCTATTCCTATTCGTACACTTGTCCAATCACAACTCGGAGCAATGTTAATAGTATTACCACAACTAGACTGATTTATTGAATCATCTCGAGGGTGGGTGTGCATGTGATCCCATTTTTTATTTATACTTACACTCCTAGCCACTCACCCTCAAGATTTTCTCAACAAATATATTAGGCTGGAACTCATAAATCTTTAAAGATACTTACTCTTTTTGACACAAACATACATTTACGCGATGACGAAAAGTAAAAGGCAGAAAAATGGCAAAGATAACGATCACATAAAATCCATGTTTGACGTTGTTTAGACAAAGATTGACTGCAGTATTATACTTGGTGTGAAAAGATAGACAAGAGCAGTCGAAATTTTGATCCACTATTACATCTTGACGGTGTAGGTGGCTGTAAGTGCAGATTGAAAAAGAAACGGACCCACATCCAAATAATCATACATTTATCTCAGCATTTAGCATGACATACGAAAGAATATGTAAAAGAATACGTACCAAATATTTCCGATTGTAGTTTTTTTTATAAGCCATAAAACTCAGTTTTAACGTAATATATCGAAAAACAGTATAAACTTTTCATTTAAACATTAATCTTAGACTTTTAAAGGCGATTATAAATGGATAAAAAATATGTTTATTATTCTTTCTGATTTTCATTGTTAGTAGAAAAGACAGTACATACTTGCTTTTCATTAGAACGAGTACGATATATAATCATTTTTAATAAACTTTATATCATATTCAACAGATCCACTTATCTATTACATGATTTTTACAAAGTGGTTGACAATCAATAAATATTTTGTATCACTGAAAACAAAAAAAACTTGGATTTTTTTCCTACACTTTGTTCAATAACTGTAAAAGAAACAAGTAGACTAAGAAATACAATATACTAAGCAAAGAAAAAAGTATAAAATTAACATGCTAGCATAACTCAGTATGAAGATGAAATGTATATGGTTAATTAATAATTTCGATGGAAAATGGAGGATATTCTAGAAGCACGAATATAATTAACATTAACTTTCTGGATTTGACGGTATCCCAAAAGGTAAATGCAGTGCTTTTGCCTGATTAGTAAAAGCTTCAACGAGTTCGTTGAGTAGTTTTAAATTTGGAGCACGTAGTTCTATTGGTTCTCCATTATCATACACCATCAATTTGTCTTCATTGATCGATACAGCAGCACTCTTCCGAAATGTTATCTCAGTCATCGGGAACAGCCAATCAACATCCTGAGTATCGAAAAATTTTCTGATTACTTCATCCACTGAGATACTTTCCAAGCACGTTAATTGTCTTTCATCCATGCACAGTTCTGAGATTAATATTGGACCAAAATTAATCATTAAGGGTGACGAACGAAAAATACCATCTATAGCAGTTGCAACTTCAAAAGATAATTCTCCCATAGCATCACGTATTTTCACAAACTTAGTGATCACTTCATGCGTCGCTGCTTTTTCACCTATTCTTTTGAGAGCTTTATATACACCATCTCTGACCTCGTTATTCTCATCCTCTAATGCGCTAACCATTTTAGTGATCACTTCATTCGTCGCTGCTTTTTCACCTATATTTCCGAGAGCTTGGCATACACCCATTCTAACCATGTAGCTCTTATTTTCTAATGTATTAGCCAGTTTAGTGATTACTTCATTCGTAGCTGCTTTTTCACCTATATTCCCGAGAGCTTTGCATGCACCGCTTCTTATCGATACACTCTGATTTTCTAATCCACTAAGCAGTTTAGTGATCACTTCATTCGTCGCAGCTTTTTCACCTATATTCCCGAGAGCTTTGCATGCAACGATTCTGACCTCTTCAATCTCATCTTCTAATGCGCTAACCAGTTTAGTGATCACTTCATTCGTCGCTGCTTTTTCACCCATTTTTTCGAGAGCTTCGTATGCACTTAACCTAACCAATTCACTCTGATCTTCTAATGCACTAACCAGTCTAGTGATCACTTCATTCGTCGCAGCTTTTTCACCTATATTCCCGAGAGCATAGCATCCACAAGCTCTAACATTGTCACTCTCATCTTCTAATGCACTAGCCAATTTAATGATCAGTTCATTCG